TATATATATATTATATATAAAGGAGGGATTATGAAAAATGACTTGGCACCTCTCTTTGGCCAAGAAACTCAATTATCTTTTTTCTCTTCTTTTTTTTTTTGCCCTTTTCCCTCATATTTACCTTTATCTTATTTAAAAAAATCAAAAATTCTAAGCATTTATTCTTCCCTTCTGCCATAATGAATATGATTAATGTATATTGAATATTAGTAAAGGCAAAAAATATTTCATTTCCCCATGTCCAAGGAATTATTTTTTGGAGAGTTACAAAACGTTTTGGAGAAATATACATATGCAAGAGGAGCTGGAGTCGGAATGCACTTTAACAAGGCATTGAAATGGCCTCTCTTGTAACAAATTTGTTCTACTGACCATGGTTTGAGCCATCTCTATGTCAAAATTAATGAAGCAAAAAAGATCTACGCTAAGGTATATTAGAATTCTATCCTTTTCTTTTGGGACAAGTAAATACACTATATGTTTTACATCCTTGAATTACTTCTATTTTAAAATTCAGAATTTCATAATTGTTCAAAGAGAACTTTGGGACTGACATAAAGGAGTTAGTATTTTAAAATTTTGAATTTTCTGTGCTTCTACTTCCTTGATGTTTCCTTGCACTTCTCAGAAAATATTTTAGGCCTCTCAAATCTCTAAAGTTCACTTGTGTCCTTTGCTTTCTATATGTATTGCTTTAACACATGGATATTTTTCAGATAATACTATCATTTGAATCTGCAAAATATTTTTAACATTCATGCATCAACAAGAATGAAAACTACAACAAATGAAATAATAAAAATTCAGAACTATTTCTACTCAAACCTTTCTCATTCCTTGTGATAAAAAACTTAAATCCATGTATTACAATGCCAACTTTTCATATTCCCTTTTAATGGAATAAAAAGAAATTTTACAGTCTCAAAATTTATCTCTTTTCTTCCTCCATTCTCATGTTCCCTACTTTTTTCTTTGTTAATTGATTTGGTTAATTCGAAATAAAGATGGTTTTAGATATTGCTACAAAATCATATAATTTAATATTTTCACTGTTGTTCATATGTGTTTATGTGCAAACAAATGATTGCAACTTAAATTGTCATTCTTTTTCTTAAATTTCTTCACTTCGGACTTAAGTGGAGTAATACTTTTCTATACATGTGATGTTGCAGTTAAGCACTCTGATGGATATTTAAAAATTAAGCGCAGGTCAAAAGATGTAAATTATTAAGAGTCAGTATTATTTACATCCGGAAATGAGACAGGATGAAACTCGGAAGTATGCATATGTTTGCGCGAAGATGATATAAATGATCATATAACAAAAGTCAAGTGACAAAGATATTACTATGGTGTAAAATATTGTGCATCGCTTTCAAGGTAAAGCTTTCCAAAACTTCAATTGGGAAGATTCAGATGATTGTATTGGGACTATCAGTTGGGTATAAGCAAGAATAAGATGATCTTTTCCTTTTATTTTTCTTTTTATTGAAGCTTTTATTTTTATTATCATATTAGTTTAACTTTCTTACGCATTTATGATGTACATGTATGAATTAATTTCTTTTTACTTTTATTTTGCTTATCAATAACTAAAAAAAGTTTGTATATTTCTTTTTCCCTTTATCAATAAATTTTACTAATTTTACCTTTCAAAAAATATTTTTTATAGTTGCCTATAAAATAGGCCACGACTAGACAGGCTGGCTGGGGTAATGGACCACCCCTTTGACAAGTTGTAGTCACACCAACTGCCAAAAGAATAAAACAAAATAAATAGAACGGAAAAGGTCCAAATATGCTCTTGTACTATATGAAATTGAGCACATTTGCCGTTCGTTAATACTTTAGCTCAAATATGCCCTTACCGTCACATAATTGGTCCATATATGCCCTTAGAGTTATACAGTTGGCCCATATATGTCATTTTTGAAATGGAATTCACTCAAACTAATTAGCTCTTTCATTAATTGTATTAAAATGTATTACAAATACTTTTTCCTTTTTATTAGTACTTTTCTTTCTTTATCTTTCTCTTTTCTTTCTTCTTTTTTCTTTTCTTCTCTTTTTTTTTTCTTTCTCCCTTATCCGATTTCCTCCATTACTGATGTTTTCTCCATTTTCGTCACCAATTTCACTTGACAAAACTCATGAATTCCAATTAATAAGAAAATTCTCCCATAAGAATATTTTTATAGATCATATGTTTGTCAATTTTTTAATTTTTACTGAACATATATTTAGTTCTAAAAAATTTAACAAAGTAAGATTGAAATAATATTTATGTAACAAAAAATCCGAAAAATTCAACAAAACCGAACAATCCAAACCGATATAATTGGTTTGGTTTGGTTTTGATAAAAACCGAACCAACCCGTTCCATGTACACCCCTAATTTACATAGTTAATAAAAAAAATAAAAAATATCCAGCTGAAAAAAGATAAAAAAAGACTAACAACTCAAATTTATAACACTACAACTTGAACTTTAGGCTTTTAATCATTAAATTATCTTTCTGGAAATAATTTAAATATTTTGGTCTTTTGATTATTGTTAAAGGATGAGATATTTTTATTATTTTAAAGTTTAAATCATAATTTTTGGAACAATTTAATTTCGTTTATGGCCAGTGAAATTGGAATTTGATTACCTTATGGGAGAATTTTCTTAGTAATTGGAATTCATGAGTTTTGTCAAGTGAAATTGGTGACGAAACTGGAGAAGACATTAGTAATGGAGGAAACAGACAAGGGAGAAAGAAAAAGGAAAAAAAAAAGAAGAAAAGAAAAAGAAGAAAGAAAAGAGAAAGGTAAAGAAAAAAAAAATAATAATAAAAAGTAAATAGTGTTTGGAATACATTTTAATACAATTAACGAAAGAACCAATTAGGTTGGGTGAATTCCATTTCGAAAATGGCATATATGGCCCAACTGTGTAACTCTAAGGGCATATATGGACCAACTATATGACGGTAAGGGTATATTTGAGTTAAAGTATTAATAAATGATAAATATGCTCAATTTTGTATAAATCCGGGGCATATTTGGATCTTTGCCACCAAAACTTAAGATGACCATTACAAATATAATTCTTTTGCCCCAACCACTCTACAAAAATATTCATTCGTTTACTTTAGATTGTGCACAAAGACTGCATACCTTGAACGCAGCCGTAAGAGACACCAATTAAGCTCTTTCTTCCATGGCGACGTCGAAGCTCCAGGCCCTTTGGAATCACCCTGCTGGCCCTAAAACCAGTCTGTTCTTTTCTATCTCTTTAATTGCATATAAATTCGATTCATATTTCTTGTGTTTTCAGATCAATTGAACTATCATCTTTTTAGATTCAAATTTCCCCTTTTCTTAGGAGTTGTGTGGAATGTAGAATATCTGTTTCTGAAAATGGGCTCATGTTTAATTTAATTGGAATTCTTTTGTTCTGTACAGAGAAGAAAAGAAATTGAAATGGATAAAAGGGAAGAATGCTTGTGTTCTATTTCTGAAAATGTTAAATTGCTTTTATCCATGTCAATGGTGATTTCTTCCCGTATGTCCAAGCTTTGGTGGACAGAGTTACCCGATACCTATGCTGGTGGGAGTAGCAGGTACCTCGTGGAATTAGTCGAGCTGTGCCCAAGCTGACACCACCATGGTTATAAAAAAATTATCCATGTCAAAACTAAGAAGGCATATATCTGTATGCTTATGTGGCCTGTGAAACATGGGTTAAGCTAACAAGATTAATTTTGATTAGAACTGAGGTGCATCATTGTTCGGCTTAAGCACTGATCGTGCCAACAAAGTGGTGCCAGTGATGATGTCCACAGATAATAGAGCTGCTTATTAGGCTGAGCACTTGTTTACTTTGGTTAAACTGGTATTGCTGGATTGGCTTACAAGAGAAAACCATTAAACAATAAATTTGGAGCGAGAACCCTATTAATCTGGAAAAGTAGCCATGCTTGGGGTAGAATGAGTGAAGGAAAGGGATAAAATGAACTCTCTATGCCTATTCGAAGAGGAATGATCCCGAGGATGGCTATACCCTGAACCCTCTGAGGGACAGATGATAGTTGAGGGGAATTTTCACCATGCACAACAAAGGCTGTAAAAAATCTTGCCTCTATTCGCCCCCATCCCAACCCCCACCAATTCATAGAAAGACACTGAACACCAGGCCTATGTTCATATACCACTTACAGGAATGAAAATTCAGTAAATAATACCCCTTATTGTTCTGAAAATTACAAAATATTTTGAGCCAAATCATAGCATAAAGCACCATCACATATCTAGTAGAAAAGGGGTGGGTTAGTGTCAGGTAGCATCACATTACTTCTTATCATCTATGGTTTAAATTGTTGACCTCTCTGAAATGGTTTCATGTGACTTTTCATGCGTTGAGTTTGCTACATCTCTTGTTAAATCATAACTCTCATTGGACATGAAACATTTTTTCATTCTTTGAACTGTTTTATTGCTTGATTTTGGTTAGTCATTTAAACTCACTCCGGCTCTTGTGTTTCACCAGTTCATTTCTGGGCACCAACCTTCAAGTGGGGCATTAGCATAGCAAATATTGCTGATTTCTCCAAGCCACCTGAGAAACTTTCGTATCCCCAGCAGATAGGTAGGTGGTCCAATCTGTGTATCAAAAACATGGTCACATTGGTTTAGCTATACTCTATATGCGAACTGTACAAAGTACTAACAGTTGGTATTACCAATATAACTGTTTTCTTTTATGTTGCTTATCACTGCCATCATGCAGCTGTTTCAGCTACCGGAATTATCTGGTCACGCTATAGCACTGTGATTACTCCTGTAAGTTAATCTATTGCTATTAAAACAAAATTTCTTCTCTATTAAATGCTTGTATTCTTTGGATACTGCACTTTCACCAAGTCGTGGTAGACTCCTTAATGTTATATAATGTGAATATTTTAAGAGAAGTTTTTTTTTGCATCTGTTGCTTCCATCACTATGATCTTCCATTCATGATTTTAGATGAAGTTGCAGCTTCTCTTTCTTCTTCTTTGTTTTTGTTTCTGTTTCTT